AAAGCTAGTTCTCTCTAGATAAACCTCGTCAATAGGGTGTTCCAGAGGCATAACCGTCACATATCCTCAAGCAAATACCGGTGGTACGCCAATCTATCTAGCATTTAATATCGGTGGTGTCGAGACGTTTCCAAACGACACCATCAAGGTGGGTATTCCCCTTTTGGTTTTTTCGATAACTCTTGGGTATTTTTTAACAGGTCCATCTTCGAATTTTTTTTCGTTTTATGCCTAATTTCTCCTAGTGGAACTGCCACCGTGCCGAAAAAGTCTGAAGGAATCAATTTGGTGGATTTGTTTTTCGTCAGCTCACTCTGGATTTCGCTAATAAAGACAGTCATTGTGCTGTCGGCGTGAAAAGTCCGTCTTTGGATATCTGAATCTTTCTCTAACAGAGCGTTCCGTGAAGAGACTTGCGATTATAAGGGAAGCCCTCAGCACCGAAAAGATTCTTCTCGAGTGTTCAGCCCAGCGATTTCTATTCTGCCCATATCTCGGAGAAGGGGGGGGGGGGGGCGTGACCACGTACTTCGTTTAAACGTAGTGGTGCGCTTTCGGTGAGGTATTGCTGTTCTGTGGACGTTGCAATGTCCTTGCTAGCTTGAGATAAGATGAGGGTTGCCTCAAAAGAAGAACAAAAATGGCATCCCACGTCACGTCCAAACCAAATCCGCAGACACACCCTCAACATCTCCCGGATGAGGGGAGTAGGAAAAAATGGTGCATAGTATACGGAATGCGCACCTTTCGTGGCAGTTGCATGCTTTCATGAAAGATCCTGTCTTATAAACCACGTTTCATTGAATAATCAGATGAAAGATTTTCACTTAAACTCGGATCGCTAGCGGACTGATGTGTGCATCTGCCGACATAGCGTCCATATAGCGGAGAGAGGATGAGGGGTGCGGCGAAAACGAGCGCCAAGGCGAGGCTCCAGAGCGCAATTCCAAGCCGATGCTTCTCTCCTAAACAAATGTCTATGGTTCTCTTTTGTCTGGACCGTCACCGCTTTCGCAGTACCCTTATGGGTACTCCCCTCATAGCGGCTGGATTTCGCGCAGCGCCAGCCCGTTTTCCACAACAGTTGTCGTTTGCTCGCTCCAACACTTGGTGGAGAACGCCACGCCAGACCCAGTCCTCCTGTCAAGCCTCCGCGCCTGGAGCGAAAAGGACTGTAAAGGGGATCTCTCTTCCTCAGAAAGATTACATTTGTCTCTGTTACTCGTCCCCTGGACCACTTCGTAGATTTACGCTAACAAAAAAAATTAGTGAAGCACGGGTCAATCAGTTCTTTTTTAGGATGTGCCACACGTTCTGCTCCTCTTCAGAATCCTAAAGACGTTCAAATGCGTTGGACCTACACAAAACTTTCGAGGGGAGGGGGGGGGTGGGCAAGCTAATGTCGAGCAGTGTTTTTACCCACCCAAATAAGTGCGGTACCGTCTTATCGACCTCGGAAAGAAGAAAGGGCTAGGTTGGCCACATGCACATTTTGTGCATCGTACTGCCTCTACCCCACAAAAAAAAACAGAAGCAGTAGACAAAACGAAATATTTTCTGGATGTTGCTCAAGTATCCGATGAAACTCCTCTTTTCAAAATTTTCCTTGATGACGTTTCGGGCGTAAGCCCCTCTTCAGATCAACTTATTAATATTTTTAGATTTTATCAAATAATTTCCGCGGAAATACAAATTTGAAAAGAGCCCTCTTTCTTGAAAGTGTACTACTAAATATTTGTGCGTAAATAGCCTTATCTCTTTTTAGAGTGTTCATGCAATGCGAATATGGTATTTCCTGCGATTCGACACGCCAGTACTGGATGCTATGGCCAAAGAGTGGGAAGAGGCAGGTGCAAAGTACGTCAGGGAGAAATACGGCAATAACCCGTTGATAAAAGTTGGTTCCTCAAAACTTGGCAAGCTTCTTGTTGTTATTGGGTTGGTAGACTTTGACTCTTCACAGTACTTGTTTTTCTTGAATTACGATTGCGAGAGGAAGTAGAACGCATGTCTTATCCCACACAGAGATGACCAACGGCGAAAGTTTTTTCCCTGTAGCAGAATTGTCCTTTATACTCATCCTTGTACACGATTTGTACTTATGATTCACTCTACTATTCCAGTGCCACATCAAACACTCGAGGATAGTGGATCAAGGCCTCACGAACAACGCTAATCGTCTCAAACCGTACTTTGCTGTCACAGTGATCGTACTGATCGCTTTCACATCCCTGTATTCGATGAAGTGGAACATCAAAACTGATGATGGTCTCAGTGGTAGGTCTTGTATCTATTTTTTGTTGGACTTTATCGGCGGCGCTCCCTCCATATAGTAAGCGACTCAAATATAGAGATAAGGGCAAAAACAGAAAAGTGTCAGAAGCTTCGGAAGTAACTGAAGACTCATTCTGTGGCGAGGAGTCCCGTCTCCGCCCGCGTTGTCACACCTCTCACTATACTATTAGGTTGTCGCATAAGTTCTTATACACGTGTTTGATCCTCTCCTATTTCGTTCGCATGGATGTTGGTATTACGTCATCACGTGTGCGTGACGTGTACATTATACTCTTTCACACTCACTAGCTATCACTCACCCACCCTGCATTTGCAGGCTACAATGCCGCACAATTACCAGTGCAAAACCATGTCACAGTGGTGATTGTGCGGCATTGTGGCCTTCTTCGGGTCCCAGCCCCGTCCTTCTGGGACGATGGAATCGACAAGCTGCCTGAGCGTTGGCGTCGAGTAGTGGATGGTGATGGTGCATACCTCTAATCTTCAGGCTGGTTCGCTATTGAGATATTTACAAAAAAGTCGGGGGAAAGAACTTATGCAACAACCTAATATAGATGCGCTACTTGTCCACGCCTCACTTTTGCTCGTTCCTTATCTCGTCTGTGTTCGCTGCGAGATTTCGGTGTCCACGCGACTGCTGCATAATGGGTGTAGAGTGGGTTGAGCGGAGCATCAAGACGTCGCTCAGGTAATGATTTGCCTTCAGTGTTAATAATTTTTCTGGGCAGGAGATGGTGTAGTGACTAAGTGCGCAGCGTCAACTCAAGCAGTCCTGGGTTTCAAAACCCGGGTTCGTACTCCCGCAGGACACAGCTTGCTACGCTCGGCTGGGTAATTGCCAGCTTCGTCTTGGGAGGATAAGAGGCACGTCTTGTATTAGGTTGTCCGGAAAGTTCTCAGCGTTTTGAGTGTTTCACTTCAAACGATCATAACTTTCTTAATACTCATCGGATTTAATCGAAATAGGCACCGTTCGAATCAGCACACTTTTGCCAATGTGACACCATTTGATAGAATCCCATCAAAGAAAAACTGGGTGTAGAGAATCGACGAAGTCATCTTATATTGAGTAATTTACCTAAGAAGAAGAGAACGATGAATGTGGGGCGTGTATTTTGAGAGATTTGGATAGGCGGCTGTCGCACCTGCCGTTTTTTGCTGGTCCTGATTGATGAAGTATTTTTCAGCAAGGAAGTTCTGAAAATGTCTGAAAAGGTGACAGTCGGTTGGTGAAAGGTCTAGAGAATATGGTGGGTGAGGTAGAACTTCAACTCCCAATTCGTTCAATTTATGGATAGTGACTTGTGAAACGTGTGGGTGGGCGTTGTCATGCAGAAGAATCGGACCCTTTCTGTTGACAAGTGCTGGCTGCAGCTGACGCAATTTTCGGTACATTTCGTCGATTTCTTCAGTAGGACTCTGCTGTGATGGTTTGGCCTGGTGACAAAAAGTTATAGTGGATCACACCAGCCGATGACCACCACACTGTGACCATGACCTTTTTTTGGTGAAGATTCGGCTTTGGAAATTGCCTCGGTGGTTCGTCGGCGTCTAACGGCACTGTGCGTACGTCTCCTGGTTATCATAATATTATAAACGCTTCATACAACAGGTGACAATTCGTTCAAAAACGGGTCGTTTCTGTTGCGCAAAAGCAGTGAAGAGGAAACCTCGAGACGTGCCAATTTCTGCCGGTCACTCACTTGTGGGGCACCCACTTATCGAGTTTTCACCTTCCCAATGCGTTTGCAGACCATCTGCAACACTGGATTTGTAACATCGTAGTTTTTCCTGCAATCTCTTCGAAACTGTTTTGGATGGGTGCAGCTCCACAGCCTTCAAATCCGCTACGAGGTTCATCTTCAGGCTGAGATCTCCAGAACGAAATTTGTCGAACCATTGCCGCACGGTGCTTTCTCTAGCACTATTGGGCCCCCACACCTGGTTAATTTGTTGAGCTGTCTCGATTGCGGATTGACCCAATTTTTAGTCGAAGAAAAATATCGTCCGAAGTTGCTCTTTTGACATGCTTCAAAAAGTCTTGGGAAAAGGGGGTTGTATGCAAGGCAATGCGTGAAACGGCAATTATACCATCAGATAGCGCAAAAATTCTCTTCAGGATGTACTACTGAGACGCAAGGGAGAATGAGCTTTTTAATCAGCAATGAATGTACAACAAATAGTAAACGTATGGAACTTTTCCGGCCAAACCTTAATACATTGGGCTGATAGGCCACATCGCATTCAGTAAGCCACTGCATTCCGAATGGAGTAAAGGATGCTCCAGAAAGGGACTGATGAATGCGTCGATCTTCATCTTCATCCTTATGTTTTTTCTGACAGTGTAAAGCGATGTAAGTATAGCCGTTTGGCGGCTCACGAACCCTCGTTGGAAAGTCCTCGTGTACTATTTTGGCTGCAGAATTCATCAGTCCGTTTTCCAGTCTCACTGTCTGTTGAGCTTTTTTTTTCCTATTTTAGCTTGCCTGGGAAAACTGCCCAACCCATCTTCAATCACGGTGTAGCGCAGATATGCGGTGCTTCGGATGCGGGCAAGAGAGATTCGGCAGCGGCTTCGAAAAAGTTGGTTGTTTCAAGTGGCGCTACTGTCGGGAATACTACAGTGAGGCTGGACGCTTACCTGAAAGCAGTGAAGCTATCGCTTACACTGAAGCAACGGTGATTTCGAGCTAGTTCAGCGAATGGTGGGACGGCTATTGCACACAGTGTGCACAGCGCCGCTACCATGTTAAGTGGTTCGGATCCTGGCGCGAATACCATGTACGTCAGCTCGCTTGCAACGCCTATCTCGCCGTGACGAGAGAGTAACGCTCACACACGCCACGCTAGCGAAAGCCAGTCCAGGCACCCTTTCACGATATATTCAACCAGTCTATTTTGCAATACCGCACTGCGTCTCAATAGATGCTGATATTAAATTGTGTTATTAGGTAGGAGCGCTTAACCGAAAAGGGTGATCTACCCTCCTATTAGCAATCACTAAAAGAGAAGCCATGCGTAAATAGACATTTTCAGTCGGCGTCGATTGGCTGCGATCAAAGCCATTACTCGCTCTTGGAGGCGTCCTATCTTCAGGACTTGCGATATTCAGGTATTTTAAATTGCCTCCTTCGAACTCGTACTTTTTGAAGCTGCCATCCTTATCCCATGCTTATTTATTTTTCCTCCAACGATAATTTCAGCGGTATCGGATTACATCTGTGGTGTGGGATGTTCTTCGCAGAGATCACCCTCGTTGCTCCTTTCCTGGTTCTTTGTATGCTAGCTATCTTAGCTTTGAAGATTTTGAAATAATTTCTAATGTATTGTCTATTTTCAGCAATTGGAGTCGATGACATGTTCATCGCTGTGGCAGCGTGGCACAACACCGAGCTGAAATACCCAGGTGAGTGAGTGGTTAATAACTGAAGTTTCCTTGTTGCGTATGTAGCCTGAAATGCTCTTCACTGACGTAGCCAACCTAGCACATATTCCCTCGCCCAGAGCTGCGCGGTCATAGCTGTAGGAAGTGTCGCTTGTATCCCAAAAATTTGGTGGGCGTGGGCTGTTTATTTCCGAGTTTGAACATGGCATAGGATGGCTTCGCTCGTAGATAGTCAATGATCGGATAAGCTGTCATTCTGTCCTGTGCTGAATACTAGAACATAACTACATCTCCCAAATACAGATATTTCCTAACACGACGCGCCGTGCCCACGCTCCAAATGAGAATACAAACCCACGCAATACCCATTCTCGGGGATAGTAGATGCCTGTTCGCATACGTACGGCGTGTTGGGAGACTGCGTTTTTTGATCTGCACCAGCCCGTTCTCCACACATTAAGGCACATTCCGCGAAAAAATAAGGCTATGACCTCTCAAATGTGTCGGACGATCCGGAAGGCGATTTTTGAGGCTGCGCTACTTTCAAAATGTGAAAAACGGCAAGAACTCCGCTAGAAGCTGACTAATTAGGCCCATGGACACCCTTAGGCCCATGCCGACCCTCACCGGCTGCTAGCTACTAGCTAGTAGCCACTATGTTATCTTTATCTATAATATTTCGGACTGCTTTTACTGCTGCTTTTCTCCGCTAATCAGATACTTAGCACTTTTTTGTGCCTATTTGAGTTCCGTTTCCCGCAATTTGCGGTCGCGAACTGTGCCTTTAAGCCACGGGCCCACGATTGGTGGAGAACTGGCTGACTCCAAGTCAGAAGCAGCCGATCGCCACCCCCGCTCCTACACGCCCCGTCGTCGCGTAGAGAAAAGAACTGTATGCATCGCGTCCGCAACTTCAGTGGCTTGATAAGACCTTCGCGTCTGTCCCGTATGTAATCTCCCGCCTTCATGGTTATTGCTCTCGCACCGCTTATCATTTCGTCTTACTATCGCTATACGCAACGGTGGTTAATCTACTTATGAACCTTCTTCCTATATCTGGGCTCTTTCTTCTTTACAGTATTCAGATTCTCTCGCTTGAACCAGTCCTAATTAGCGCGTCTTCGATGATTTTTGATGTATTTTCCACTACTCGTGAGTTACTTAGGCCTAGTGCATCCATATTTGAAGTCACAGTTCTTCACGGGGTAAGGGTCAATTGCGTGCTGTTTCCTGCGGCAACGATATCAAAAACCGGTAGGTGAAACAGGTAAATGTCACAGGTAGAAAATAAGGATAGCTGACTTGAACCGGTTCTAGTCTCGTATGTGTAAAAAATGACAAAATCTGGCCAGTGAAATATCTGGTCCTGTGAAATTGACGACCGTCACCGAACCATTTGTCAGAAACCGTCCTGTCCCAGTAATCGCCGCAACTGGAACAATCGATGAGCTTATTGAGAGCCTTTAAACAAAGACATTACTGCGATGATCAAGGGTTGCTCTGCGCCTTTCCATTACTCGTAGTGGTATTGAGACTCGCAGTCACGGTTTTCATCCAAACAGGACTAGGCAGCTTATACCAGTGCGGCTGCAAATGGAAATATGGTGAGGCACTGGAAGCACTATACGCCTTAGATCGAGATGGGGGTTTATACAAGATTGTAGTTCATGCGGCCAGGGAAGGGGGGGTCCTAGTCGAGAGAGGCCATTTTTTGTCGCGCTTTCGATCTGGTAAGCCTGATCTTGGCATCGGCAAACCAACGACCCCATTTTCCGCTGATTCCACCATGCTCTGAAAGAGTATCGTGCAAGTAGGTATCGCATCTCAAAAAGCGTCAGGTATTGTTCCATTCATTCAGAGTCACATCTAGGCGTTGGCTTGAAGGCCCAGTCTTCTGCGCATGCGCAGAAGGTGGCCTACCGTACTGCTTCCCTCTTTGATGCAGTGTTCCCCTCTAAGACGTTAATACTTCAGGAAGGAGGGGTGGCATCAGTGGAGAAAGTCATTGTAGCAGTTCCGATTCTGCTAAATCTTGTTGCATCCTAGACTATAAGTTCAAGGAGTGAGCTTTGACGCTGCCCATACGATCGAATGAATCGCTTGCTAAGCCGCCCGCCAACGCCAATTCGTCCGTCTCCCTAGGTGATCGGCTACTTGTTCTGTTTTTGCAGGGGAAGAACTAAATTCACGCTACCTACCAAGCCTTCCCACATATTATGGTGGACTTCACCGGCAGAGAATCGCATGTAAATTCCAGTACTAACACCGCCAAGACCCCCACTTTCCAAAACCGGCTATTTTGCTTGGTTATCAATGAACGAGTTATATTCTACTAGTACGCGGATCCCTGAACGTGGCGAAATGTTCTGATGACTCCTTTCCCAGGAAATTCCCACTCTGTACTAAAGAAACGCATGGTGGAGGCGATCAGCGAGTCTGCGGTCGCTATTTTTATCACGTCTATTACTGACGTAAGTTCCTCTTTATGAAAGTCAACACTAGTATTGGGTCGGCCCATGAGTAATGGCTTTTTCCCCACTCAAAATATGAAGAAGAAAATTTCTGCCATTGATTTTCATACCGTTTTGCAGGGAATTCCTTGCCCTAGCGCTATAGTGTTCATAGTTTTCTTCAAGTTTCTCTTTCCACTAATATTTAAGTGCTCAAACTGGAGTGTCAGGTCGACGAAATTGAGCATTTTCGACAGCCTCTCTTTTATACCTCTAATTAAAAAGCTAAAACCGCATGGGCCCAGCTGCTAAGTATATGGCTGAAAGGCTATGTCTCTTAGAAATGCTAACAATACTTCAAGTGATTCGAAGATTTCAGTTTCGACCTCACAGACAAGCATCGAACCTAATGCCCTATTTTGTCCAACTGAAAGCTTACTTAACTCCTTATTCCAGCGGACATTCATGGCCAAAGATTGAGGGACGGCGGCAGCTAGGAGGTCAATTGAATGCTTCCCTATTCATTATCCAAGAATTACCGCTGCAGTGATGTGAGATAGGTTCTGAAGCAGTCCTTTCCCAAGAGGGCCCCCACGCGCGATGTTTGCTTTCACAAGTTTCCGGCAAATCGCCACCGCTTTGGTCGCATGACCAACATCAAGGGTGTCATAAACGTATCTTCGACCATATATACCACAAGGTTTGAGCTCCTTCTGTTGATTGAGAGCTGAGATAAAATTCAAAAAGTAGTTGTCAAGAACCCTTTTCGGTGCGACGCCGCATGCTCATTCCTTCATATGACATAAAAAATCTACACAAGTCGAGAAATAGTACAAAGGCATCATACTATCTAAATAGCTGCGGCAACAGGGCCATCATTGTTGGGATTTTAGCCGCTCTGTACGACCGCCCCCCTCCTTTTTTTTTTTGCGCGTTGGTGCGACCTCGCCCGCCTCGCTTCTCGTCGATGGAGCCGTGCGAGCGGAGGGGGGGCATATAGTCCGTGAAACAGGAAAAGTCGCAAAAGTCAACCGCCACAACGGCAAAACGTGAATAGACGCCCCCCCCTCCGCCTTCACAACGATCCTGAAGTGAGAAAATTCAGCTATCAAAAACAAAATTTTTCTCACAGATTGTTCCAGGAAAGGTCAACAGGTCAGCCCGGCCATTTCCAATGAGGTGCACACCGTTGTACGAGTCTTGGGACGGTGAACTCGAATCTACCTTCAGAATTTGCGGAACGACTCTCTGAACGGAGTTATGGAGGGTTTTATCCCCGCGTGGTTGTTTCACATGCTATCGCGAGGAAACGTGGAAGCGTCTTTAGATATACGTATGGAGTCCACTTGAAACGTGGCAGTAGAGCGCATCGGATAGCGAGTTGGTTTACTAGGCGAGACGCTGTAGGATCGGTTCTCGGCAGGGCGATTTTTTTTGCATTTGTCCAAGAACATGGCCGACAAAGCTTCTAACATCTCTGCTCGCCTGCACTATCCTGTAAGGAAACTGCGACCAGTTTTTTTCGAAAGTGTAGACCCATTGTGGCCTGAAAGAGTGCTTGTGCTTGCCCCCCCTGTAGTACATGTCGCAAGGGTTTTTGCAATATAATACCATGATAATCGTGTTCAGCGGGTCAAATTACCTCTGGGAACAAGTTCCTAGCCGAATCTGATATTTCGACCTAACTTGGAAAATGTGAGTTATTCCATGGGTAATAAGCGGCAGTTACGAGCTCACCAACCATCGATGACTGGTCTCGGGATGGAATTCCTACCGGTAATCAGAAAAATGGATTGCAGACGGCATCGCACAAATAAGTAAGCCAGGTACTGTTGTTTGCGAAAAGACATGACTTAAGAGTTATTTCAGTTCGAAGACCAGTCATCACCAGTGTGCTAGTCGCAGTATGGCTTTTGGCTATCAGTTAGCCATGACTATCCATACCCCATTTTTTCGAAGTTGAGTCAGAAACTCAGATTTCGCTAAAATGACGTCTCTAGGGGTTATTTGACCCCCTGAACACAAATATGACACCTATTTTGCGCGAAGAGCGCTGCGAGTCGCACTACAGGTGCCAACGCTTCGGCGCCAGCGCGCCTGGAAGAAGAAAAACAGTAAAAAAAACCTCCATAACTCCGCTCAGTGAATCGTTCCGCAAATTTTAAAGACAGTCTCGAGTTCACCGTGTCAAGATGAGTACAATGATGTGCATGCATGGCATTGGTATATGGTGCGGGCCCTGACCTGTTGACCTTTCCTGGTGCAGCCCAAATACGACCCGCCCCCCCTCCTGGCTACCAACTACGCCCCCTCCCTATTGGGGATTCCCCAACAACGATGTGCCATGGCGGCAAATTATCTATCAAACAGTGTAGAACGTAGTGGGAACAAGTGTCCTCATACAAAAAGTAACCAAACAAACGCCATTTACTTATGTGCCAAGCTAACACTGTGATAATGGTAATATCACGAATTCTTACGATGCTTCCCTCACACGTAAGCATAGGGGAATGATTGGATTTTCTGTTTAGTTGCTTGTCTCTATCTACTTCTTAGGGAGTAAGTTGATCCGCATAAAATGATGCTTTAGGTGTTGTCGTTCGGCGTCGGAACTTTCACTGACATTATTGCCGTCCAAGGATTCTGTGCAATGACTTCAGCATGCATATTGTTCTTCACCTGGCTGTATCAGGTAGGTTCTGAACACACCTCACCCATGGTCAGTCAATGTCAGAAAGTGATCCTTACAGATCACTTTCTTCGCAGGACTCATGGTGATTTCGGGCAAGGTGGAGTTGGCCGGCAGAAATTCATGTCTACCTTGTATCAAGGTGAGCTCCCGTTTTTCAGCGATAGTGCAAGATTCACCACTAGTAAAAAGCGATTTCTAGGAAAAATAAATAGCTGGTTGCAGAGGTAAATAGTATGCGCATGGAAACAGGAAAATCACGAAGAGTCAACCACTACTCCTAGAAAGGCCAGGGTGTAGATACGACCCGCCCCCTCCCAACAATGAGCAAGTACGACCCCGTGAAGCAAGAAAAATCAACAATCAAAATATTTTTCTCAGCCCAAGTACGACACCCTATTGGGAATTCCAATAACGGATGTGCTGTTCTAAACGGGTTTGGGATCTTTTTATTACACTCTTGAAGACTGGATTCACGCAGCCCACGTCTGTACAGTCCGGAAACACATATTTTCGAGTGTGCGATGAGTGATAGATGGCCTGGGCAGCAGACAGATAGGGTATAGTATGTTACGAGCTGTAGGACAGTGCGGCACTGTACTGTGGGCTTTTAACTGCCAGTCGCGGGTCATCGGCCAGTAGCGAGTTGACATGAGATCGATGCGCAGCTTCGCAGGCCACTTCTGTGTGCGCTGGGGCATCTATATTACTGATCGTATCGTTAAAGGAACGGTCCGACCTGTGGTAAATGCAAGTGCGTATGTGGGAAGGTATGTGCTGTCCGGAGAGGACAACCCTGTCCAAACTTCCGCAGCAGGAAGTTCTACGGTAAAGGATTAAGGCGCAAAGTTGCTTCAGTGGTACATCCCTTTTTCCAGTGACTCCGCCTCCAGACTCCGCCTCCAAAGTCGGCCTTCCAGCCAAAAGTAATGCTCCCGGGCTAGTATCACGGGCCGTCCTTTAATAGCAACGCTGTAGCTCTCAGGTTTTAGCTGGTCGTTACACCGCTTCAACTGGCTACTGGCAACTTCGATAATCATCTCAGATAAGGATTCATTTCTTGAACTTCCAGGCCAAAGATATTTATGCGAAAGAAGCGGAAGCCGAAAGAATAGCAAAAGAAAAGGAGGACGAAGACAATTGTAGACAGAGAGGTGCATCAGAAGTTTTTTTTTATAACTGGTTAAAGTTTAATTGACTATCGGAAGTAACTCTTCGTCATCATCAACCCACCACTTGCGATTAGTCGTGTTTGGAAATTGCTCTCGTAGCTTCAGCTAATAAGCGGTGTAAGCAAATTCATATCTAGTCTTGACACAAGGCCCCAAACAAGGGTTAATTGCTACATTTTCATAGTTTATATCGGACTACTTTTCAAAAAATGATGCAGATTCGGCGAGCTAGTGACGGTAAGTAGCATTTTTATAGCCTCTCCTGTCACATAAAATGAAAAAGGAAGACCAGAAAAAAGGGAAACTTTGTTCCGGGTGACGGGAGAGGCCATAACCTGCTAGTACGGTCACTAGCTCGCCGATCTGCATCATTTTTGAAAAGTGGGCGGGGCTTCTTAGGCAAAACGGGCGGACTTCCATTAGTATACGGGCCGCCTGTCACAGCCTAAAAAAGTGAAAATTTGGAAGAAAAATCAAATTCCGCGAAAAACGAAAGTGGCGTGGTCGGAGGGGCGGCAGCTCAGTGTGCTAGTGTGTAACTTGAATTGCGATGATCGGCGATCGGACTGCGATCTTTGCCATATGTTTAGAAAAAAGAACGCGGATGCTTTCTCACGGTTTGGGCAGGAGAAAACGTTTCTGCCAGTGACTCCGCAAACGTTCATCGTATGGAGCGAATACCCTTCAAAATGCCACTACGTCTCTGAATGGAATGAATGGCATTTCCGGAGGGAACGCTGAAATCATCACCCTCCATTCTTCGGGTGACAACGTGACTGCTGATGTACCACAGCCATTATTCCAAGCGAGGAAGCGTGCGAGAGGGCGTGGATTGAACGGCAGGGCCACGGAGCCCGTTTTTCTATGCTATGTTTTGCCAGAACGCGTTGGTGTAAAAGCTACTGCTACTTAGCGCGAGCGCTCCGATCCCCGAGCTTTCTTTACACACTTTTCGCTTGCAGGGATTAAAGCACATTCTTGGTATACGGTATGGAATATTCAGCAGTAGGCAGAGGAAGGTTCTGTTCAAGCGTCAATCTGTCATGAAGAAACACCTTATAACGTAGAGAGTGCCTTTTTGGAAAGCGTGTTTCCGTTTTTGCCATGACTAAATGTAAGTGGAGTCCTTATTTTAGCAAAAAACAACCTGAACAGCTTCTCGGCAAGCAGAATGTCACCCCGTTACAAAGCAACGTAAGTGACGACAGTGTCACAAGCGAGGTGAGTCCCATAAAACAACATGATGGCTTACAGTAGATATTTGTAAGAAAATAGTTTTCCTTCACAGAGCTCCCGTGAAGTGTCAGTACTTTCTGAGCCGCCTCCAAAAGAGATGAAAGCCCTTAACAGAGGCCGCATGGGACGATTTTTCAGGTACGACCTTGAGGGCAGTGTTCACGTTGAGAACAATGCTAAGTTCTTGCTACTTTCGGTACAGTGTGTTCTCACATACGCGTGACCCTGATAAAAAGAGTCGTGAACTCTTATGGTCACTCGCTGACTATAACGAGAGAAAAGAATCAGTGCCGGAGGAGGAGGGAGTGGGAGAGGAGCCACTTTGGTATGATTTTTTGATTGGCAGTTTGATTATGTTTTGCCCTTCAGGTCGCACGCTGCAAGATTGTGTTTTTTTAAGGCAGAGTGGCCATAGTGCAGGGCCGCCATGCTTTGTGCTCATCACAACACGGGGGGTCGTGATCTTGCGCCGCGATGGAGGGGGGGGGGTGTCGTAAACGCTGCCATGTTGGAAGTGGAGAGAGCGGTGATACACGGTACAAGTAAAAAGAAGCTCAAAAGGGACGATGTAGATGACAATAAATAGAACTAGGCACTATCGAACTATTCCTAGGCCAAAAACTAAAAAAAATATTGCTGAAACTTTTTACTCCTTCCTCACAGAAAAACTTTTAGACACTTCGCCCACCAACCCTCCTCATCTGGTCTAGATAAATCCCAATCCACTAATCCGCAAAATCTAGAAAAGAATCCATTGCAAAAGCTACCTATGAAACCGTAGAAATTGAATCCTGAGCAATTTCCTCACAACAAAATCAAACTCAACAAAACAAAATTAAACTCAACAAAAACAAACAATCAAAGTAATTCACAATAAAATGGATAAGAAAAAACTCACCGCTCAGCTGGGAACCGGAACTATGGATTACTTTTGAATTTTGGCTGTTCGCGGTCAGCGCGCTCATACAAGCGCATTGGTGCGCGCTATTTTACGGTTTGGAGCCAATTTCAAGCCAAACACGTGAAAAGTACCCCTCATTTGAACACCCATAACTTCGTTGAAAGTGAAGCTATCGGAGAGGGGTAAGTGGGAATGAGTAGAGCTAGGTTGGCTCTTATCACCTGAATTGAGCGATTTCAAAAACGTTCCGGTTCCAGAGATTTTCCCCGTTGTGATCATCGTTGTGATCCGTCTGTGATCATTTTTGCGAACCGCGAGTCGCTACGCTTTGGACGTCCATGGCAAGCTTCATACACGGCCTTTCGTAAAAAAGAATTGTGCCGGAAGCTTGAAGATTTCTACTTTCCAGCAAGGCTTTAATTTTCTTCCTAGGCCTGCTATTCGAAAAAATTCCCCGTTGTGATCATTTTTGTAATCACTCTGCCCCCATCGAACCGAAAATCCAACCCCTCCGAGGCCAGGAAACCTCCAGTTGGCTCGAAGACTTTGGTATGCTTCTGAAACACATGTTTTCGTCAAGCATATCAGGTAATAGGCCATTGGGCGCCAATTGGCATCACATGTGCAATGCGCCATGCATGGGGCTTTCACGCAGGTGTTTGAAAGGTGTAACCTTCTAGATTAGGGCTTCCGCAATTGCAGAACAATATGTGCTCTACGATCAGAAAAGTCCGGGAATGTACTTTCATCTGTTTATTAATCGTCACGTCGTGAGTCCTCTTGTTTGTTTATAAATTCATGGGGCCCTTGTGGGCGGTGATCGTAGCTCTAATCATCGCATCGCCCCGTGGTCCTCGACTTATTGTCAGTATGCTACACCAGGGCGCAGAGTGCTGGACGTGCTTTGGAGTACGCCACTGCTGGCGCTGGTGTAGGGTACTGCGACCTCCCCCCCCCCCGCTCGACCAGAGCAAAGGATTTTGTCCAAAAACTAAAAAAAACTAGAAACTTTTTGGGAAAAAATAGACAAAGTGGTAGGAGGTTGGAAAAATCTAGGGAAGAGGTAACGTGGGGAGGGGGGTCGTACTTGAAGATGGAATTAGGGGGGGTCGTATTTTTCAGGAAATGATCACAACGCAATGGCGTGCCCTGCCTGCATGGAGGACTGGGCCTTGATCTGCGTGAACTCTGGAAGGCTTTTAATAGAAACAGGAATGAGAGCTAAGAACAAAACTAGGCGGTGAAAAGTTAACTATCAGGTCACATGTTTTCGGCCGGTTACTCGAGAAAGTCGAAAGGTTTCCCACTTGCGGTCTCCCCTGTACACCAAACCCTTACGTATGCGTACAGCGAATATTCTGCGATATATTTCAACTGTTCCGTTGGCAGTTTTCGGAGTCCCAGCAAACGCCGCAGTGATGCGTGAAGGCACATTCCAATTCAGCTATTCGATTGAGTTCAGCGCAATGACTTTCCGCACCTCCCCTAATGATCGCGAACTAAACCCTATGTTACTTCAGAAGAAAGGACTATCAGTAAGGGCAGAGGAGCTAAATTGGTCCCACCATATGATAAGGTCCCAAGGTGTCCTCCAAGCACTTCATTTCCTTTCAATGAATTGTGAAGCTGGAAGCACGGCAACGGTGTCAGCCCAAGCCGTCTACCACCATGTGGTGGAACGATTGGCTGTGCGGGCTCGGCGGCAGAAACCCATTCCTTTGACCGTCGTCCAGCGTAACAAGTCTGTTTACAATCGGTTGATGTCGTGATAACTGCCTTCACGCAAAACTTCTTTTTTTGCTATTTTGTTGCATTGAGTAAAAAATTGTATTTCAGAAGTTACTACGTGCCTTTCCTTCTTGATCTCAGAACGAAGATCGCCGTTGCCATATTATTTATAGTGTATGTAGTGGTAAGTATATCCAAGTAATTCCTTTTTAGAAGGTTTTAAGGTTAGCTCTTTCGGGTTCACGGCCGAGTGAAAGCATCCATCCAATATTTCGGTACGGGGATACTTACTGTTTTTTCCATCACGGACTTTTGAGATAGCAAATTTCTATTTATTAATAAGGGAGTCTTTATATGTAATACATCAACAAATGTCTCAAGCACATTAACCTGCTGAGCGACGCATCCATTTTTTGAATTCAGGGTATTCAACGTAAAAGACGTTGAAGAACATTGACATAATTTTGGAAAAGGTACCTATACTCAATCGGGCTGAAAGAATACTTAATTCATAAAAGGGTGGCAGTCGGTTGGATTATTGTCATGGACTTACGCAGAATTGAACATCCCAGTCTACCTGAGCGGTTCTCCCTCGGCTAGCCTTCTGACTAAAAGGCGCGTTCTAGTTTCTGGCTCTGTCCTTCCTCAACAGTTGAAAGTCCCACTTCAACTGCTAATGTTATGAGCGAAAGGCGAAACTTTTCATTCTTTAGTTGTACCGCGCCTTGATAATGTTGTTGAGTCTTGTAATGATATTTGACCTCTTACTGGAATGTGCCACGTTTTGCAATTCCACTCAGAATCGCAGAGAATGTATATTTGCTCCATTCAGTGGCGTCTTATGTAGAGGCAGTTATTGTCCAGTGCGAGTATGGCCCAATCTACGCTTCAGGTGGGCGCAAGGCTTGCACGATTAAAAATGCATTTTCTCTTCACTGCCTCAGAATTGCTTAGAGCGCGACACTTTAGATTTTTTCTCTGGAGCAGATTGGCTTGAAATTTGTTTTCAGGGTATTTTGATTTCCTAACAGAATTTATAGTACTCGCTTCGCGCGAAAGGCTCGTTTCCCACCTATCAGCCGATGAAGTCGAATACGCACACGGTGCGCGTCGGCCTGTACTTTTGCGGCTACGTTTATGCGGTTTCATGGTCAAAGGCGGATGACAATATTTAAGCTGCAGGAGACCGAACCCCCCCCCTACCCCCGTCCAGCCTCGCACGAAGCTCAATCAAATTTGATCTGAACCTCGCGGGAGGTAAAAGTAGGTGAAAAACTGACTTTACATTCAGGAGATTGTGGCGTGGAGGGTGAATACTGCCAAAAGTCAATACTTATCATGGTCTCGCGGATAGTGCCGGTGTGTGGTTTCCGGCGTCACGGTCTTGGCTTGAGTATCTTGGGCTTCGGGTTTGTGGACCAGGTTTACACTTTGAGTGCTAATTTATTGCTACGAAGGGATAACCTCTTCATATTCCGCCTAGTACCTCATTGTGAGAAATCAACAATTAGTTGTCACATCGATTCTGGAATTCATCTTTGAGTGTCTTATTTGCAGATATCAGTCTATGGTATAACAGTAATGGAACAGGGTTTGGATTATGACAAATTGCTTCTACAAACCGACCCTCTGGTCGAAGCATTTGCCAGAGAAATTGAACTTTTCCCCAGTGGAGATCAGGTAGCCTAACATACGTTCAGGAATGTTGAATCTGTTGAATTAATGAGGTTTTTTAAGATCGAGATTGCCATCAAAAATGCACCAGACATGTCTATCCCAGAAAAGAGATCGGAAGATCGAGCAGATTGTCCAAAGTTTGTAGCAGATCTTCCTACAAGTGAGGTCATGGAGTGAACCGTTCATGGCTCACGAATCTCTGTTGGGAAGTCCCTGTGTTCCACTTTTGCTCAGAAGTCATGAGTCGTTTCCAGTCTCACTGGTCTATAAACCAGTGAGACTGGAAACGACTCATGACTCTTGACTGCTCTTACATTTCACTTGCTGGGACAAACTGCCCAACCCATCTTCAATCATGCAGTACCGGAATGACGGCGGGATCGGGTGGCTTCGGATGCGGGCAGAAGATTCGGCAACGGCGTCGAAAAGGGGTGTTCCAAGTGGCGCCTTGTCGGGAAAATACTTCAGTGAGCTAGACCGCTACCTGAACAACGTGCATCGAGCTACTTCACGATGTGACCGCTATTCACACAGTGTGCACAGCGCCGCTGCCATGTTAATTGGTTCGGATCCTGGAATGCCATGTACGTCAGCTCGCTTGCAACTCCTATCTCGCCGTGACTGGGAAGTAACGCTCCACACCCACGTTAGCGAAGCCTGTCCACTCTGTTCACATAGATTCAACCAGTCTTGATTTGCAATACGCACTGCGTCTCAATAGATGCTGATATTTACTTATGCTATTAGGTAGGAGCGCTTAATCGAATAGGGTGATCTACCCTCATATTAACAATCACGGAAAGAGATGCCATGGCGTAAGCAGACATTTTCAGTCGGCGTCGATTGGCTGCGATCAAAGCCATTACTCGCTCTTGGAGGCGTCCTATCTTCAGGACTTGCGATATTCAGGTATTTTAAATTGCCTCCTTCGAACTCGTACTTTTTGAAGCTGCCATCTTACCCCATGCTTATTTATTTTTCCTCCAACGAAAATTTCAGCGGTATCGGATTACATCTGTGGTGTGGAATGTTCTTCGCAGAAATCACCCTCGTTGCTCCTTTCCTGGTTCTTTGTATGCTAGCTATCTTAGCTTTGAAGATTTTGAAATAATTTCTAATGTATTGTCTATTTTCAGCGATCGGAGTTGATGACATGTTCATCGCTGTGGCAGCGTGGCACAACACCGAGCTGAAATACCCAGGTGAGTAAGTGGTTAATAACTGGAAGTATTCCTTGTTGCGTATGTAGCCTGAAACTTTCCTCACAGACATAGTCAACCCAGCACATATTCCCTCGCCCAGAGCTGCCCGGTTTGAACATGGCATAGGATGCCTTCCTCGTGGGATATCACTAATCGAGACAACTGTCATTCTGTCCTGTGCTGATACTAGGACATAACCACAATCATCCCAAAATGCCGATATCCTACCAGGAGCGTAGCCGTGGAAACGCTCAAATTAGGTACGCACCCACGCAATATCCATCTCCGGGAGATAGTAGGCACAGCCTTGTTCGCTACGTACGGCGTGTTGGGAGACTGCGTTTTTTTGATCTGCACCAGCCCGTTCTCCACACATTAAGCCGACGGGCGACCACAATTGGTGGAGAACTAGCTGACACCAAGCCAGAAGCAGCCGACCCCCCCCCCCCCTCCTCACACGCCCCGTCGTCCGTAGAGAACAAGACTCTATCACCGTCGCAACATCAGGGCTTGATAGGAACCTCGCGGCTGTCCCGGTATGTAATCTCCGCCTTCATGATTGCTCTCCACCTTTATCATTTCGTCTTACTATCGTTATACGGCAACGGTGTCTCATACTTTATGAACCTTCTTCCTATATCTGGGCTCTTTCTTCTTTACAGTATTCAGATTCTCTCGCTTGAACCAGTCCTAATTAGCGCGTCTTCGATGATTTTTGATGTATTTTCCACTACTCGTGAGTTACTTAGCCTAGTGACATCCATATTTGAAGCTCACCGCTCACGGGGTAAGGGTAATTGCGGGTGTTTCCTCCAGGGCAACGATATCAAAAACCGGTAGGTGAAACAGGTAAATGTCACAGGTAGAAAATAAGGATAGCTGACTTGAACCGGTTCTAGTCTCGTATGTGTAAAAAATGACAAAATCTGGCCAGTGAATATCTGGTCCTGTGAAATTGACGACCGTCACCGAACCATTTGTCAGAAACCGTCCTGTCCCAGTAATCTAACTGGAACAATCGATGAGCTTATTGAGAGCCTTTAATCAAAGATATTACTGCGATGATCAGGGTTGTTCTGCACCACGTCGCTTCCATTACTCGTAGTGGTATTGAGACTCGCAGTCACGGTTTTCATCCAAACAGGACTAGCACCAATTATCCAGTCGCTGCAAATGGAATCTGGGTAAGGCACTGGCAAGCACTATACCCGTAGATCGAAATGGGGGATTTAATACCAGATTGTGGTTCACTCGCCGGGGGTGGGGGTCCTAGGTCGACAGAGCCATTTCTTTGTTCCGCTTTCACTCGCCAAGGGAGGGTCTTAGGTCGAGAGAGCCATTTCTTTGTACCGCTTTCACTCGGGTACTGATCTTTGGCATCGGCAAACCAACGACCCCATTTTTCGCTGATTACACCATGCTTATACCGTTCACTAACGTTACCGTCTGAAAGAGTATCGTGCAAGTAGGTATCGCATCTCAAAAAGCGTCAGGTGTTGTTCCATTCATTCAGAGGTTCATCTAGGCGTTCGCTCAAAGGCCCAGTCTTCTGCGCATGCGCAGAAGGTGGCCTACCGTACTGCTTCCCTCTTTGATGCAGTGTTCCCCTCTAAGACGTTAATACTTCAGGAAGGGGGGGCATTAGTGAGAAAGGTCTTGTGGAGCAGTTTCGACGACTTTGCTAATCCGTTCATCCTAGTACTATACATGTTCAAAGGGTTGTAGCGGTGCTTTGAACGCTGCCCCATGCGCAATCGCGATGAAATCCTTGTAAGCCCCCGCCCAACCGCATTCGCTCCGTTCTCCCTGGTTCTGTTTGCAGGGGGAAGAACTAAATTTCACCTACCTTCGCAAGCCATTCCACAGGTTATGGTGGACTTCACCGGAGAGAATCATGGTAAATTCCAGTACTAACATCGCCAGACCCACCACTTTCCAAACCTTATTTTTGCTTGGATATCAATGAAAGTGTTATATTCTACCGAATCCCTGAAGTGGCGAAAATGTTCTGATGACTCCTTTCAGGAAATTCCCACTCTGTACTGAAGAAACGCATGGTGGAGGCGATCAGCGAGTCTGCGGTCGCTATTTTTATCACGTCTATTACTGACGTAAGTTCCTCTTTATGAAAGTCAGCACTAGTATTGGGTCGGCCCATAAGTAATGGCGTTTTTCCCCACTCAAAATATGAAGAAGAAAAGTTCTGCCATTGATTTTCATACCGTTTTGCAGAGAATTCCTTGCCCTACACGATAGTCTTCTTAGTTTTCTTCAAGTTTCTCTTTCCACTAATATTTAAGTGCTCAAACTGGAGTGTCAGGTCGACGAAATTGAGCATTTTCGACAGCCTCTCTTTTATACCTCTAATTAAAAAGCTAAAACCGCATGGGCCCAGCTGCTAAGTATATGGCTGAAAGGCTATGTCTCTTAGGAATGCTAATAATACTTTAAGTGATTCGAAGATTTCAGTTTCGACCTCACAGACAAGCATCGAACCTAATGCCCTATTCTGTCCAACTGAGAGCTTACGGAATTACCTTATTCACGGAGATTCATGCCAAAGATTGAGGACCGTTAGAGGTCATGGAATGCTTCCCTATCATTATCAAGCATTACCCTCAGTTGATGTTAGACGTTCGAAAATAAGTGGGTAGGTTCTGCAGGCAGTCCCTTCCCAAGAGGGCCCCCACGCGATGCTCTTTTACAAGGTCCGAATTCCCACCTCTTGATCGCTTGAACCAACTTCAAGCTGTCATAAGACGCATCTTTCTTTGGTCATATATACCACAAGGTTTGAGCTTCTTCTGTAGATTGAGAGCCGAGATAAAATTCAAAAAGTAGTTGTCGAAAACTCTTTTGGGTCGACCCGAATTTCCCTTTCAATGAAATAAAAATCGACACAAGTCGAGAAATAGTAAGAAGGCAATCATACTATCTTATAGTGCGGCAAACAGGGCACATCATTGGTTGGGGATTTTAGTCGACTCTATACGACCCCCCCCCTTTTTTTTGGGAGTTGGTACGACCCCCCCCAGCCCTCTTCCTCATCGAATCGAGCCGTC